CTGCGGCGGCTGTCACGGAAACTCCCGGAGGGCCGGGACGGGCTGTCAGCCGGAGCCTCTCAGCTGCAGCAGAGGAGCCAGGGCCAGGTTCTGTTGTGCTGCTTCTACAGCACTGCCCTGTGCCCCACAGCGCAGCGCCCTACATCTGGGTGTACCTTGATGGTGAAGCTCAGGATCTCGATACCCATACGACCCACATCGGGAGCTGCCACCTCCCGCACCAGCTTGGCAAACTGATCCCTGTCCTGGTAGATCTGCTCCACTGTCAGGGTACCTGCAGAGGGAGGGAGGGAGGGAGGGAGGAAGGAGGGAAGGAAGGAGGGAAGGAAGGAAGGAAGGAAGGAAGGAAGGAAGGAAGGAAGGAAGGAAGGAAGGAAGGAAGGAAGGAAGGAAGGAAGGAAGGAAGGAAGGAAGGAAGGAAGGAAGGAAGGAAGGAAGGAAGGAAGGAAGGAAGGAAGGAAGGAAGGAAGGAAGGAAGGAAGGAAGGAAGGAAGGAAGGAAGGAAGGAAGGAAGGAAGGAAGGAAGGAAGGAAGGAAGGAAGGAAGGAAGGAAGGAAGGAAGGAAGGAAGGAAGGAAGGAAGGAAGGAAGGAAGGAAGGAAGGAAGGAAGGAAGGAAGGAAGGAAGGAAGGAAGGAAGGAAGGAAGGAAGGAAGGAAGGAAGGAAGGAAGGAAGGAAGGAAGGAAGGAAGGAAGGAAGGAAGGAAGGAAGGAAGGAAGGAAGGAAGGAAGGAAGGAAGGAAGGAAGGAAGGAAGGAAGGAAGGAAGGAAGGAAGGAAGGAAGGAAGGAAGGAAGGAAGGAAGGAAGGAAGGAAGGAAGGAAGGAAGGAAGGAAGGAAGGAAGGAAGGAAGGAAGGAAGGAAGGAAGGAAGGAAGGAAAAGCACTTTATTTGGAACAGGTAACACATAACAGTGTGGGTCTAAGCTCAACAACATCCTTGTTGTCCCTAATCTCTTCACGTCTGGGCCCAAGGGTGTAATCCTCTGCCCAGACCCTGCAGCACGACCGACATCTCAGTCTCACAAGCACAACCACCACACACACCTGTGACCCACGGGGACTCAGACATCTCTTACTGCAGGCACTGACAACTGGCTTATCACAACATCCAGCAACACAGCAGGAGCTGCTGCAGGGGAGGAACAATCTAAGATGCCACCTCTGCAGTCAGCAGAGGAATCACCCGTTGTGGCTGCTGCGGTGGCAGCAATCCTGCTGGGACCAGCCAGCAGAGCAGGGAGAAAGCTACTCAAGATGCCTCCAAAAGCGTGAGCCCCTTCGCACCTAAGATGGAGCGCAGATGCCCCTCCAGTGTCTGAAGGACCACGTTCTTCACATCCTGCACGTTCTTCCCCAAGAACTGCTCACAGGCCACAGCCAAGAGCTCCTTCTCGGTCATTATCTTCACCTAGAGACAGAAGACAAAACCAAAGGGACTGAAGGTGCCTGTCCAAAGAGGGACAGGTGCCCAACAGCAGCAGCAGCAGCAGAAGCAGCAGTACCACCACCAGGCCCCCATCCTAGTGATGCTCCAAGGGACCACACTGAGCTGTCACCACGCTGAGCCGGGCCACCAGAGCAGCCAGCGAGCCCCTGCTCACTGCTGCTGGGGACAGCCCTGCTGCAGGCACAGGCAGCAGCATCTGGGGCAGACACCTCTCCAAACCCTGACCACAGCTCAGCGTGGAGAGGTGCTCGTGCAGCCATCCATCCTGCAGCAGCGGCCACCGTGTGATGTGGGGACAGAGCCTGGCCTGACAAGTCCCACTTGATGAAAACTCTACCAAAGAGCCCTGAACTACCAGCTCAGCCACTGCACCAACACCAGACCTAGGAAGAGAGGACTTTCTATTACTACCCCTGGCCAAAAGCCATTTCATTACCTTTCTCTTCCTCTTCCTTCACTAGAAATAATTTTTCTGAGACAGGAAAGGCAGAGAACAAGGAAGAGTCTGAAATGTCCAGGGAACAGCTTAGGAACAGGGGCTCCATTCGGCGTTCCCTGCAAGGAGAGATGAGACGAGATGGCCGTAGCACACTGGTTTGTCCTGCTCATGGCTGGGAGCTCCCAGCCACCCTTTGTGGTGACCCCAATGTGCCACGGCCAGGACCTGTTTGGTGTGCCCCACATCATCAGCCTGGTAACGATCCCCAGAGGTGAGACACAGCCACGCCAGTGCCATGTTCACCTCCCACAATCAGAGCCAGATGCAAAAGCATCCCCAGGTCCAGACAAGCTAGGGTCTTAAGATGGTCCTGCTGGTCATGGGGCTGCTTTTTAAAGGGAAAGTTGGTTAAAAATTCCACTGGGATATGTTAGGCAGTGGATGTGTGCTCACGGAATTCCACAGGATCCACCTACGAGGAGCTACAACCCACCAAGGTGACAGCTCCTGGTGGCCAGGTTCAGTCTGAGGGCTCAAGCAAAGCCTGGACACAGGGATGCCTGTGCATCTGGCAGCACTGGAGAAGGGAGCAGGGGCAGCCCAGCCACACAGCTCTGCTGGGACCTCTGGGCACTGAGCAGGTCCCACAGCACCCTCTCATGGAGACATCTGGGCTGGGCAGTGTCTCCTGTCCCAGCAGATGCTGGTGGCACCCTGCGCCCTGCCCCAAGGCCCTGGCTGGATCTGTGATGCCAGCATGGTCTTGGCTCAGTGACCTCCGAAGCTTCAGGCACTGCCCAGGGGCCCTCCGAGGGTCCCAATGCCCCATCTTGGTGGGTTCACAGCTTATAGACCTCAACCTGACACCTACCAGATCGCTTTTCAGGGTCAAACTGCTGGCAAAAGCAACACAACTATTTATTGAGAAAGCCTGGTCTGATAGCCTGTGAGTCCAAAACGATCCCGCAGCCTAACATCTGGAGCTGAAAAGCAGCACCCAGCCCCAGCACTGCCAGAGAGCGGACTGGGACGACTGGGATCGGCCACCTTCTCTAAGGGGAACGGAGATGGACCATGTTCAACACGGTGAGCTGACCAAGACTCAGCTGCCACAACTCCATCCCTAATAACGTGAAGAAACATCAACCTGGGCTGAGCCTATTTCCTACCTTTGCTTCTCAGGCTGGGTGTCTCCCAGTCAAAACCCCAAAGTGAATCTCAGGCAAGCCTGGCAATCCCCTCCTGCTTTCTCCTCAAGACCTCTGGGCTCCTTACAGGGCCAGGCCACAGTAGTTTCTTGTCCCTACAGCCCAGGCCAGCAGTGTGCACTTTCTACACGAGGGGGAGTTGGGAGAGCAGCTCATCCAGCTGCACCCAGGAGCTTTTTGCAAATACCAAAACCAATCAGACCCAGCAGCGACGTTTATGGCACACATCTGCCAGCAATTCCACCTTTCTAAACAATCCCCATCCTTCAGGAGCTACAGAGAGAACAGTCAGAGGACAGTTCATTAAGAGAGTCCCTGTGGTACTTAACAGGAGCAAGGAAGGCTCCAGCCTCTGTGAATAAAGCCAGGCAGCAGCCTGCCTGCCCCAGTAAACCCTGGAGAGCCCGAAGGAGCCTGGCTATCGGCTCAACACGGATGTCAACCAACAAAGCAAAGGTTGCACAAAAAAAAGCAGAGCCATTTGTGCTCAGCTTGTTTGCAGTATTTCAGCCAGGGCACTGCAACACTCGGTGCATCTTCAAATGTCATTCACATCAGAGAGAGAGTTTAGCTGGTAGGAAATCAGGGAGCTGCTATAAACCAATCTAATCTGGGGGACTGATACTGCACCCAGCTCCAGCCAGCTGCAATCACAGCGAGGGGGGAGCAGAGGCAATTCAATTAGCTTGAGGCTTAGAAAAATGGTATGGAGGGATACGAAGCCCAGGGCACCCCAAGCACCCAGCCCACACAGGCAGGAGGCTACTGGTGAGTGCTCATTACACCTCTCTTTTAAAAAAAAGAACAGCATCCTTATCATAGAACCATAGAATGGTTTGGGTTGGAAGGGACCTTAAAGATCATCCAGTTCCAACCCCCCTGCCAGCAGCAGGGACACCTTCCACTAGACCAGGTTGCTCAGAGCCTCATCCAGCCTGGCCTTAAACACTTCCAGGGAGGGGGCATCTACAACTTCCTTGGGCAACCTGTTCCAGTGTCTGACCACCCTCACAGTGAAGAACTTCTTCCTAATATCTAATCTAAACCTCCTCTCCTTCAGTTTAAACCCATTTCCCCTTGTTTTGTTTCCCCTTATGCACATTAAGCATTTTTATTACAGCAAATGCTTTAAAAGTTGTTCCTCTAGTAATAATTTGTTTGCTTTTTTCCTTTTTTTGCACAAGCTCTTAAAAGAAAAATGTTTGCCTCAAAAGTATTTCTGCAAAATTAAGGTAACCTCTGCCGTGCACATCCCCAGCTGCCTCAAACCTGCTTTCTGCATGGTAATTCCTTGCATCTCACAACCCTAAACCTTTAAAAAAAGAGTGAGAAGAGAGATGAATTAGGAGCTGCATTTTTAAATCAAGGCACCTGGTGATCCAGCCTTCTGCTACCATGTGCCACCCAGCCTGGACTATTTTGCAGGCAATGGAAGGATGTCCCAAAACTAGGTCAAAAAAGGAATTTCTGGCCTCATAGAAATACCTTTTCCAATTACAGAAGGAAAAACCTATGGATTTATGAAACGTGTGTGAGAGGAGACATGGGTCCATGCATTTTGTCAACAATGCAAAAACCACTGTGGTTATGTGACACATCAGCAGCTCAGTGGATATAAAGAACTGAAAAACTAAAAACAAGGATGCTGGTTCCCACCAACTAGAGCCAGGATGAGCCCAAGAAGCCAGCTCAGTGCTGGGGCTCTCACACGTAGCCACGTTCCCCAGCAGCAGCAGGGCAATGGATTATCCACCGTTGAGCCACAGTCGTGCCCAGCCCTTCTGCCATGTGTGACAACCCAGAAACTGCTCCTGGCTGAATTCACGTCCTCGGTTACGCACAGACACAGCACGCAGCGCCTCTGCAACGTCAGCTCAGAGCAAACCAATGGGCTCAGGGAGGAACCTGCTGCTCTGGAAAGCACTGGGTGGAATCTGTCAAGTGCTTGGTCTTAAAAGGGCTGCAGCAGCCACAGTGTTTTTCCCTGAGGAGAGTCTTTTGACGTAGGTGGGATTTTGGTCACATCACTGCGTCACTCGGCAGCTCCCCTCGGCTCCACTGCTCACTGCAGGGGATGTGGCAGTCACCTCTCCCGAAACAACAGACCTGGACATGCCTTGGACACGTGGTGACCACAGCCTCGTGTGCAGGCTGAGAATCACTGTCTTGGTTTAGACACCCAGAGGGAGCTGTCAGGAGCAATTTTTAATCAAAGCATCCAGCTGCCTATTCGGGGAGTCAAATTCTGCTGAAAGGTAACAATTTCTTCCTCATCCTCCCCAAGGCAGGACCTGGTCACAAGGACAAACTCTGTATCAGAGCAGCAGACCTCGGAGTCTAAGAGATGCAGGTGTTTCAGTGTGCTGTCACAAGCAGCAAGAGCTGTTTTTCACATATGAAGAAGGCTTGAAAGAATCACAATTCAATTCAAGCCAGAAATTTTACACAAGAATTTTAGTGCCTGGAGGGACTAAGTTCCTTCTTTAAGCTTTAACTCACCATGAAGGATGACAAGATCCACGTGCTAATAATAATAATAATAATCCAAAGCAAGATAATGCTTGATGCCATCTCAGGAGGAAATGGCTCAGTCCTGCAGGGTCACACACAGCTCCAAGGGCACCGCGGTACATCAGTGTTTCACAGATAGATCAAGTCACCCCCACACACACCTCATTTGCCACATGGACAAATGAGACACCAGAAAAAGAGGAATGATTTTGGGGAGAGGAGGAGAAGTCACAACCCCCTTCACAACACAGGACATGCTGTAGTGTGTTTGAACCAATAAGGACAGTGTGGTTTTGTACAAGAATTTGTTTCAGAGCGGTTGGCTTCTGTTCCTGGACAACAGCAACCTCTTAAGGGGGAAAACCAGACGGAAGTTAGAGACATGCATTCCTGAAATGATGTTTTGGAGTTACTGTACCTGTGCCACACCTGTGACAGTTAAAGCTACCCCCTCCGCCGTCTCTACGTCCTCACACCTGGGCTGTAACGTCATTATCTCTAGGGAAATCCTGCCAAAAAACGTAAAATATTTGCACGTTTCCAGGTAACACACACTCAGCTCTTCCCCTTGCAACTCCTGCCCCGGGCTACCTGCTGCACTCATCACAGGTAATGTCAGACAGGCACAGTACACAGCCAAGGGACTGCATCTGTGACTGGAGACAGACAGACACTTTGGCCAAGAAACAGATTTTCAGATAACACTTAAAGGCATTTTATCAGCAGAGAAAGGCTGGGAGCCAAACTGGAAACAATATTGTGACCTTTTCCCTTCTGCTGGGCTAGCGAGGTGGTCAGAAGCTCGTGGCTGTGGGACCCCAAAGGACCCTCTGTCAGAGCTCGCTGTGCCACGCTGCCCAACACCGGGGCTCTCGCTGGCTGGTGTCACTGGTTTAAAAGCACAGCATGGACCTGGGATGCTCCCACCCATCCCGCAATGCCATCCCCACAGGAGCCTGGTGCTGGGCATAACCTGGTGCTGATGCTGCAAGAAGGAGCCCTGCCTTTGCCCTCGCTGGGTTAGCATTAATGCAGACCTACCCCCTGATCTGGATCACCTTGCCCTCTGTTTTTCCTGTGTCCTGTGACCCAAAGGCAGATAGAAGTGAGTCCCCAGCTCTTTAGGGCCGTGCCTGTACACTATCAGGCACCCAGGAACAGATCCTGCAGCTCCAGAGCTTTCTCCATCACCCAAGGTGGGCTCGAGGTGCTTTGGCCAGACCCAGCAACCTGAAGGTCATGATTTGGTAAAACAAGAGACATGCTTGGCCGTGGCAGGTTCTGCTTCAGGAAGCAAAGCCTGGCTCTGGTCTCAGCCATAACAAGCCGGGAAGGCGTTGGGAGTCAGGACAGGGAGCCACAGGGCAGAGAGCTTGTGTCAGTGAACATCAGGTCAAACATCTGAACCATGAAGGGGCTGTGCTGGGCTGCTGTGTGCACACTGAGACGCTGCAGGATTGGCTGAAGGTGCTGAAATGTATCTCTGCAAGTTCATGCCTGCCTTGGCCACTGTCCTAATTAAACTGGCACGCAAACCAGGAGCTGATAAAACAGATCCCACTGTCCAGGAGGTGCACAGGCATTTTTTTGCCCATATGCATTCACAGCTTTAATCAGCTAGCGCAGGATTTTAGCCTTCTGAAGACCTAATCTATACTTGGAATTTAATTTCAATACTGTGCTGCTTCTTAGCTGGCAAGTCACAGGGATATTTGATAATTACCCTGGTTCATAACCGCTCCTAGTGTAAACTCTAGTTCTGTGTGTTGCAACTCATCCGAGGTCTCCATGCTGTACTTTCAGACGTGACAACATCCAAAATGGGCACTGGCTCCATGCAGAGGAAGAAGGGCTGAGTGCAAACCCACAGCCAAAACTGCAGAGCCAGGTACAGTTGCAATTTCTCCATAGGTGTACAGGTTTCCTTTTGAAAAGGCAAAAAACCTGCCTTCCCACCTGCCCCAAAAGCTGTACAGACCCCAGCGTGGCCTGCTTGTGGCTCCACACAAAAGAAAACACCCTTTTGTTCTCCACCAAGCCCACAATGGAGACAGTGAAAGGGTTACAGCTGGAGCCAATGTCTGCAGTGTTATCAGAAGGAGCCAGTACAGCAATGCTGAATTTGGAATTTGCCAACTATGCATCTGTCTGCATTACCTACAAACAGTGGAGTGCGCCCCAGGGCAAGCGCCGGAGAAGGGGAAGGAGAGGAGGGTATTGAGATTTCAACTGTCCCATTAGAAAACCATTAGTTTTTATGTTATCCTGCTGCTGCTGCTGCTGTTGCTGCTGCTCAAAACAGAGGGATAAACTGTTAGACAAGATGTTAGGAAGCTGGTGGATTATTACCTGTGCAACCCCCGTTACGTACAGTGGGACCCCCTCCGACGTCTCAATATTCTCACAGCGACAGAGGATGGTCATAACCTCCAAAGACAGTCTGAGCAGCGAGGAATAAGGGTAGGACAGCAAATATACAAAGCAGTTATCAGAGAGTAAGACACTCAATGCAAAGGACAGACGAGACTTTCAGGTTTCAGCTTTTCCCTGTTCTGTTTGCCCTTCTCCCACCGTTTGCTCCCAGGGCTCTGTAATGCTGGGCCAGAGCAGCTTCCCTGGTCACTTGGTGGGGAGTTTACAGCATCCAGCTGCTTCTTCTAATGAGGACAAACAGGTTGGGGACTCATCTCCACCCTGTGTCCTGCAGGTCACCACAGATGAAACTGAACCGTGTATCCCACCTGGACTGTCCTCCTGGAGTCAGCTGGAATTCTCTGTTGGAATAATCTTCACACACAGAAAATTCCTTTTTGTAACAATTTAGATTCTTCTATGCCAACATTTAAGAGGGGCCAGAAAAAATGAAAATGCCAAGGATTTGGTGATGCCAACCACCCTTGGCTAACACACTGATGAGAGAAGGTGCTTCCAAGTGCTGTCCTGAGAAGCTGAATAACACCATTTGGTTCCCCAAGAGGCATGTAAGACCATGCTGCCTCTCTCACTGCTTTTATTTCTGACCCATAAACAGGGACAGGATCTTTCTTTCTTTCTCTTTCTTTCTTTTCCAGCTCTCAAGGTTGCAGCAGGATAAGAGCCCAGCACTCTGCCAGCTCTAATTGTTCCTTTTGTTCCCAGGTTAGTGCTACCTGGCGGGATGCCGCTGACAGCAACACAATTGCTGCTGTCTCTCTTGCTTTTAGCACTGGCAGTTCCAGAAAAGATGTCCTAATTTTGGAGGAGGAAATCTGCCTCACTCTTCATGTTAATGCAGCAGGCTCCATCTGTGGCACCAGCTTATAGTATTTGGGAAAGGAAATTCAAAACAAGAATTAAGCCCCATATCCTACAGCATGAACTGGGGTTCTAGATTTTAAAGTAAAGGGTTTGTTTGGGTGCTGGAATTCCTGTCAAGAGCTTCATTTGCTAAATAATGCACAGAACCTCTATCATATGACAGCTCATTCCTGGCAAGAAAATCTTGGCCCTGGACTCAGCCTTTGCTTAACTTAGTAAGTCAGCCTCCCAAATACATCTGTTATCTCCTGCACGGGGCAGGTCAAGGTCCTCCACTTTTCTGTTGGCTTCTAACACAACAAGAGGAGGAACAGAAACCATTTGTTCAAATCAACAGCTCTCCCAACAAGATGCCTCACAAAAAATTCAAGACTGAAGCTTATGTGGATCAATCGCAGTTCTTAAGTACTGAGCCCTTAAGCTGAGTCTTTCCTTCCCCTCCCATCTCCTAGAGCATCGCTGGAGAGCCTGGGCTAAAGCAGGAGCTGTTAGCTGAGACCTCTTCATGCAGTCAGAGCACTACAGTCAGCAATCCTGAGTACCAGTCACCTCGGAGAGGACCTGAGAGCTGTTGTGAGTCAGTTGCCAGCAGCAGCCAGGAGCCCTTGGAAGAAAGCCAGCTGGCTGACCCCCGGGTGAGCGGCAGCTACTGGTGCATCATCTGCAGAGCGAGGGCAGCAACATGCTCACTTTGTCTGCTGGTGGCAACACGTGAACAGGGAAAAGAGATGGCAAGATCAGGCAGTAAGGGTCTGGCTGTCACTCAGTGCAAAATCCCAAAAGTCACGTCTTTATCCTTTTTCCCCTGTTATTTTTTTACACAGATGGAGGAAACCTGCATTGGTGAGCATGAGGGAGGTGTTTAGGAGAGAGTAACATTCCCACAGATCCTAAAGATGAAGAGCTACGTTAGCAGGACAGCAGCACCATCACAGCACATCAGTTCAGAGAGCAGCGTGGTAAGAAGCAGCAAGCAAAATCCACAAGTAAGGAAAGGGAGAGAAAGGAAATCCCGTGGTTTTAAACAGGAACACAGTCTGCTCCCAAGGGGACAGCCAGCAAAGTATCTTCAGAAAAAAGACTTGAGGAGCAGGAGGGGGCACTGGCCCACTGCACACCACAAATGTCTTTGTTACTGGGTGAGGGTTTGGGCCGTACTGGGCAGAACTCAGCTCCTCTTTAACTCATGGATGAGCCAGCCCAGTGTCCCCACTGCCCAGGACCTCTGTGAGAGCCTCAGAGCTGCAAAGGCAGCAGCAGAGGAGAGCAGGGCTCTTGTCTTCCACAGCACTCACTGCACTGGCACGGGAAGAAACACGCTGACCAGCCAGGCTATGGCAATCTCAGCTTGGTGGGCTTCATGTAAATATAAAATAACCAAAAAGGAAAAAAAACCAATTAAAATCTGATTGCCTTGGGTTTGAGGAGAGGTGGGCAGAGAGGCCATTTGAAAAGCTCTTCAGCTGAAAGCATGGGGTTTCTTTTATTTTTTGGTTTTTTGCACTGTGACACCCAGCTGTCCCCATGCAAACAGCCAGCACAGAACTCTCCCATCCTGCAATTTGATTTTACACATCATTGTTTACTGTCAGGTAAGCCCAAAAATGACAGGATTACCTCCTGCAAGGCCCTGGACAACCTCAGCCCCCATCACTCAAAGCAGAGGATGGTCAGAAGCTGTGCAGTTGTGAGTGACCCGACACTCCCCATGCTCCAAGGCACCACAGAGGACACACACTGCTCCTTACAGCGCTGTATGGAAGGCATTGTCCTTTGAAGGACCACGAGCTGGTCACAGCTGAAGGCAGTGGGCTGGGCTGATGCTCATCCATGGTTTCCCACACAATGCCCACTCCTGTGTTCCTAAAAATACTGCTGACAGCCCCACTGGGATGGTTTTGCTTAACTCCTACTCCAAACCCACAAATAACGGGGGTCTCCTTACCTTTGGGTGTCAGTAATGCACCACCAAGCCCAGGCCCAGCCTCCGTACACGTACTGCTTTACATCGGAGCCGCAACAGCCACCTGCAGCACAGCAAAAGGCACAGAGATGGAGGGGTTACACACACGTGCTGCTCTCAGCCAGGGAAAAATCTGTACCCAGGCTGAGTCATGAGCAGAACAAGGCTCCCCAGCCTCTGGGTGCTGAGGAAAGGGAATCCTGGGGGGGTCCATTGGTTCCCCCAGCCCCTCAGAGTAGTGGAAGCACCTCGGCTTGGCTGCATTACAAGCAGTCAGTGCTACCAAGCCAAGCTCTGCACCATGACCCAGAGGAATCCAAGCATGCTTACAGTGTCTGATAAATAATGAACACAGAAAACACTTTCCAGGATCCACAGCAGCCCTGGAACACCCTTTGGTCAGCTATAACACAACCAGCCTCTGGGGAACCAAACGTTCTCCTCACCTCCACAGACTTCACCCGGCAATTTTCCAAAGGCAAACTTATTTTTTTTTAATAGTCTTATATAATTGGAAAATAGTATTTGTAATAATTCAGTATGACGAACAATAACACACAGAAAGTGACTCTATTTCAAACCAGTTTTATTTTAGTTTTGTTAAGCAGTTTAAGCACTTTTAGCAACCACAACCATTGTAAGTTCATGCTTCAGTATCTTCAACCGTGATGCAGCAGCTCCACCACAGAAAGCAATGTAAGAAATCCATCTCCTTTCCCTCACCTGCTCTGCAAACCACCCTTAAATCCACTGAAAAGCTATCAGGTCAGTGTTGGAGGAGGGAAAGAACCTGTGAGCTCCCCAAAAACATCTCCTCGTTCTGCTTGTGCAAGTACTATGGTTCCTGAGGCTTTGATGGTCCATGACAGAGCTGGCTGTGCCCAAAGTTCGGACAGAATTCCTCTGACACGTTTAAGATTTGACCCTAATAAAGCCAGAAGACACTGTCTGTATTTTCACATCTTTGATTCGAGGCATAAGACGCCTGCTGCCTTCCAAGAGAGCACCCTGCCTGCCAGCGACCAGCCCTAGGATTCATACCTGGCAAGGGAGGAGCTCTGCAGCTCCCTGGCTTGGAGCAGGAGATCAAGCCAGCAGTCCCTCCCTAAACTGTTATCCATTATCACACTCACCACAGCAGAGCCTGAGGGCCTCAGCAAGGCAAGCGCTGCACCAACAGAGCAAGAGACAGTCTCAGCCCTGTGGGATGTATCCACGCAGGGAAGACAGAGCCAGCACGCAGGGAAAGCAGCGGGGCTGCAGTGTGGTGGGAGCTTCACAGCTGTGGGAGGGGAAAGGGAGAACTGTGAAGCCAGCAGGCAGCAGCCATAGAAGCTCTTGAAAGAGAGATGAAGTTTCAGTTGGTTGCAATGGGTCAAAATGAAGAAACACAGCAGACATCCAGGCCAGTGGGCGGGCAGGGCCCTCTGGGCCACAGGAGGGGACTCTGTCCTCCCCATCCTCATCCTCCTCTCCATCCTCAAGTGTCTGGTCATCTTCCACTGTCAGTTAAAGATACTGCCTGCTGCACCAGCTCTCACACGATGCTTTTCATAA